CGATTATAATTTAAATAAGATACTTTTTTAATAAACAGTTATAATATATGAAAATAATATACAAATTTTCATTATTTATTGATTGAAAGTAATTCTTTAAATACGATTAACTAGATTTTAAATCTTCACTCTATTTCATAAAAGATGAAAATATTCAAAACTTCAATATATTTTTCATGCTGCTAATGACCTGATAGATGATCTTATCAAAACCAATGACTTTTTGAAAAATGGAAAGGAACAACCTAATGATCTTTTGGTATTATCCTAAACAGCTCATTTCTATTTCCCACTGGGGCAAGCTTGGGTATAGGACTAGGACTCAATAATGACAAGGAAAGCAAGCTCTTCAACGTAGTACATCACTCTCTTAGAATTTTTCACAACAAGCCTGGATTAATTAACCATAAGAACCTTGACCAGTGGCAGAGAGACGTAAGCATAAGACCTGTTAGAGAAAGTAAAACCAAAGCTTCATCTAAAGGCAGTGTTTGGTCGTGGCATGTGTGTATGTTTATACCAGCTAGCTATATAACGATGGCTTTGAAAGCTTTATATTTTACTAGCTTACGTTTAGCTATAGCATGTGTATGTTCCTCTTCGGGTTTTCCCACACGGTGATATCAGAACTTCTAGACACCAAACCTGGCATTGACAATGACTTCTACAGTAGATTTTTATTTTTTATTAAGCAAGGTGAGGGATACGTCTTTAATTAATAAAAATTAATAATTATTAGATTTAATATCATTTGATATTTTTTATTCATATAACATATGACGATTTGATAACATAATCACGTAAAAATTGATATTGAGCCCTATCAATATTTCGAATATATACATATAGTAACAAAAGATTCAAGCATGGATATTGATGTATCCTCCTAGAGCTAGCTTACAAAACTTTGAATGTGAAAAAAAAATTGTCAAGCATATAGCTGTAATTAGCATCTGTACATTGTCCAATATCTCAGCCGATGATAAAAGTCATACAAGAATTGCACACAAACTATATAGTAGAAACCAAGACTTGTCAGCTGGGAGATTTAATTCTTCTTTGCTTACCTATGGATATGCAACTCAATCATTTGGCCTTATCTTAAACAGCGACCTCCTCTAAGATAAACATCGTTTGCTCTTTTGTCTTTTCTATTAATTTTTTGCCCCAGAGAGGCAAACATGGTCAAGGACGACAAAGAAAACTCTTACTATAGCTATATAACCCTCGGTCGATGAGGTCAATTCTCTTGAAAATTTCCCTTATGACCCTTTCAACTATTGCAACAAATGGTTTTACCATCTCTGGTGGGTAACGTAAACACCGAGGCAAAAAGAGATGTGAAAATTACAAGTTCCATCTAGAAAATTGTAGCAAGAAAACTAGATGGAAATTAGCATTTGTTGGCAAATGAGATTGCTACCGTGCTTGAAAGCTTATGGTTTATGTGTGTTTTTTTTGTTCTTTCTTTCCCTTTGCGTTTTCCAGGTTCCAGGCAAAGAAAATCGTATTCAAGATCAAGATGTTTGTCATTGACTAGCTTAAGATATTGATTCATCATGGAGATTTTGACGGGGTATATACACGAATATTGATTCTGAAAGTTAATGACTTAATGGATTCAGATCGAATTGTAAAAGTTGATGTTCAACGTCAACAATATATGATGTTAGTATTTTGATTGATATGACCATGTAAAGATAAGTTTCGTCTTATTTTTAGATATTTCAAGATCGCACAAATTGTTGAATGCATCAAAGGAGGATCAGCAGCCATGGGGTTTTGCAATGTAATCTATAAATGCAAACTCTAGCCTTAAATACGGCATTGACCATGAGTTCTGTAAATGCATATATAAGGAATCACGTTATTTGATATAGACAAGGTCAGGTCATCAGGGATGTTGAAATTCAAGAAGACAAAAGTGATTTTTTCTTCTCCACCTTATCAAAGCTTACTTCCTTTACATATAATTTCAGTAAAATTTATATAAATTTTCGCCTAAGTGAAATCTCAAGAACAATTTTCATTGATCACTAACATATGTACTTTCTTCATGCATAAAGATTTTGAAGCAAAAAGCTATGAATTGCTAAGTATAATTCGACCATTTACCTTGAACCATAATAATAGATCAGGCAGCAAGGCTTTGATTTTCAATGTTGAATACAGATTCCTGAATGTGTTACTGTAAAAAACTAAATCTGCATCACCCTAACTTCGGCTAATTAACTAGTCAAAACACCTTTGTTACTATGCCAAAGAACATATATATGTTGAATTGGATAGAGATCAAGGTCTATGATCAGATTCTTCGCAGAAAAGGACATGGAGAAAGTGCATCCATAGGTTAACCTTGGTTTCAAGTCATCTTTGCTTAATTTGATTTAAGATGAATTTGACTATAGCTGTATGGCTTGCAGCGTGCATTCACCTGGTTCACGTTCTAACTCTTCTTCCACATGTAGTTTGCAGGCATTTGTAGAGATCCTGTGGGCATGAATCTGATAAGATTTGAAGTTTATAAAAAGGGAAAACATATAAGTTGTTGACATATATGCTGCAATCAGGGGGGGCTGCATGCAAAATTTAAGCAAGAAAAGGCAACCTAGACCGAGATGAAGTGTTTATTTGAAACGAAAGTAGATTAATCCCCTTCGGATGCCATCTTTCTTGACAGATTGATGCACCATGTTTTTCAACAACTGAGAAGATTGCACGTGATGAGGAGAAAAACATGGGAAAAAACCTTATGTATGAGACATTAATATGAGAAAAATGGAAGATTTTTGGGTTAATAACATATGTTTCTCGTTCCTTGATTTACGTTTTCTTCATATGTTATCAGTTTGATTTCATTTCCAGAAGTTGGTCAACACAAGTTGTTAGCATTTCAAGCTAGTTAATGTGAATAGAATATTCAATTCTCATCTTCTACTTTTGTTCATAATTAGCTAGTAGTTAGTTGTAAATTTAAAGCTAGTAAAATAAATAGGAATCTTGAGATTGAATGTGAAAACAGAAGCCATGTGTGTAAATGGAATATTAAGCATAGAAGAAAGGAAAAAGGTAATTAATTCGAGCAAGCACATCACCCAACCACGTGAGGAAGAAGGTAGAAGGAAAAGGAATTACAAGTCAAAGATTCCAACAGCATATATCTTGTTCACACTTGGTTTTCATTTTCCAATCCAAAGATGCTTCTCTTAATCCATTTCACACCCCAAAATCCACCATCTGTTTGGTTTTGACTTTGGTTTGCTGCTAGCAGGTTTCTCCCAACTTTGCTTGTTGTTAAGCCAATGCTTAAACCTTAAGCTGAGCCGTCTGTAGCCACCTTCATGGCTCCATCCTCACCGCCCAGAGACTAGCTTGAAGCTCGTTTCAGCTAGGCTGCACCGTCTCATCTGGGTCCCTCTTTTAGCACAGCCTGTTCAATTTTATTTGGTCAACTAACCAAGCTATCAGGTTTCCACGTAAGACCAGCGCTTAAGATCCTGTCATTCCTGTCCTACGTGGTTTCCAGGAACCTTAGTTACCTGACCTGTCTTCTTTTCTCTATAAATACTGTGGCTCCTTCCATGTTTAAGATCTCTTCTCCCGGAAAATTTCTCGGTATTACTACGTATAGATATATACAGTTTTAAGAAACTACCGGAGAAATCAGAAATGGGGAATTGTCTTCGACACGGAAAGGCATCTTGGGATGGTGACGATTGGGTGTCTTTGGCCTCAGCTCACAGGCAAGGGGATGATGATGGCGAGGTTATTAACATTATGGAGAAGGAGAGCTTGCTTGGTGCAAAGAGATTTGCTTCGTTATCTTCGTCATCTCCATCATCTCCATCCACCCGAGAGGTGAAGATAACCATTTCAAAGAAGGAGCTAGAGCAGTTGGTACAGAAAGTGGACATGCAAGGTCTGACTCTTGAACAAGTCCTGGTTAGTATGGTCAAGGGTGGAGATGTGTATGAGGTGGAGCACCATCGGCCATGGAAGCCGGTCCTACAAAGTATTCCGGAGGTGAACTAAATAAATGAGTTGCAGATGGTGCAATTCTATTCATCCTCAGTTCTCTGGGTTTCGATCATCTTTTTCCATGCCTTGAAACGTGAGAACTAGGCTTGAAATGATTCATGATTTTGTTAAGGTTATTGTACATAGCGAATAGGCCGTTTTGAAAATTTTTTATGTGTATATGTCCTGAATTCTGGTACATGAACATTTTCTGTATTTAGTTGTCATAGACTTAAGGGAATACATAATCAAATAAACTAAGGCTTCTATATCGTCCTCCACCCAAGTCCCAAAATAAAAACATCTCACTGCTTCTCATGGTTCATCCTGACAATGAAGAACAACTCTGTTGCTGCTCAATGTGCTCTCAAACTGATCAATCCTGCTTAGATGATTGTAAATTAATATTGGGATACGATTACCACGTAGGTTTCTCGCCAATCCTCCATGTGACAAACCAAAACAGAGGAACATTTCTTGCTATAACCCCTTTAATTTGCAAGCCAAGGTGATCAGAAACTAACACATGCAGAAAGTAATTGATCTTCTAGTAGTTAAACCAAATGACAACCCAAGTTGCTGATGACAACCCAAGTTACAAGGTCATGGTCCAGATTGAATTTCACCAACAATGATTCTGCCATGTCCGGACACAGAAACTTGGGCTGCTTGGCTTTGGATTATGAGTTTGGTTTGTCTTTGAACTCTTAGACTTCCAATCCAGAGTAAACCGACTAGGCTCATGTCCGTTCCATGTTGGGCAGGATTATCCCCAATCTGTCAGTTGGGCTTGGAGGAGGCCTTGTTTCGGTTCTTGTCAGGTCCAAACCTATTTCAAGAAATAAAAGAGACGTTAGATACCCAAGGAACCATCACCAGAAGTATTAAAAATCCCAACCAACGGCCACGTGCCAGATCGCAAGTGCCCTCAGGATGACTTCTAAAGGAAGTGGGAGGGAGGGAGGGAGGGACGAGAGAGAGAAAAGAAGAGAAAGGCAATCGATAGCGTTAATGCGCTAGTGGGAGTGTTTAATTTGACTGTGGGCGTCTACTTTCTCTCGAGAGGACAGCTATTTTCATTACTCCTCACTGCTTTCCTGTGTTTATTTTTTTTGCGTGGTTTGTCCTTAGTCCCCACCACTCCTTCAAGCTCATTCATGGCTTCTCTGGGCTCTCTTCTCTCTCTGTCTGCTCTCATGCCTTCCTCTCTTCCTTTCTCACATTCCCACACTTCTCTATCGCCTTGACCTTTGCTTTAATCTCTTCTCCACTTTTAGTTTTCTGTTTGTCTTGTCACGCAACCTTATTTTTTATCGAAGGAGAGAACGCATGAGTGCTGGGGTGTCTCTCAAGCGCTGCGTTAGCATGTTACTGCTTGAGCTGTTTGTGTTTTTTGCCTGTGAGTGAATTTTCAGCACTTCTTCCTAGTTTCCTGTTCGGGGTTTTGTTTATTTAGCATGATCTGTTAGTTTTAGCAGTTCGGTTTCTCTAGTCAAAATTGCATCTTTGTGTAGGAAATGTTAGCCTAGATTTCTTAAATTTTTGTTCGTACTTTTGGGCTAAGAGAAATGGCTTTTTCTTAGATTTGACAATAATAAGGCTTGTAAATTTCCGTACTTTTATGTGGGAAGATTCTTGATTAAAAATAGTATTGCAATTTTTAGGGAAGTTCTGCATTGGCTGTTTAACTTATTGAAGTTCTAATTTCTTGCATTATTGGCACTTTGATTGTGATATGTTGTAAGCGTCTAATGTTTTCCAGCTGAAAGCTTCGTTTAACTTTTTATTAGTCTTGTTATTTATGTTAAATATGATGTTTGAGAAAAGAAATGATAGATTGATGAGGAAGTTAATGTCCTGAGAATGTTTGGTTCTGTTGAATAGTTAAAATTAGTTAATAGTTTGCTAGTGATTTGTTGTAGTTCTAGCCGCCTTTCCACTGACAAATAATTTCCCCTTTGAGTGTTTGTAACTGCTTACTACGAATAGGTGTTGTAGTCGTTTACATTGTTCTTTTATCTGTTTAAGCTTTTAGAGTGACTGCTTCTTCAACAAGGATACAACTACCACAGAAAATCGGTTTAAGTGGTGTAGCAAAAACAGTGCTTAGATATGTGTGATCTTGATTTTGGTATCCCTGAGACATTTACAGAGAGGTTGACCATGATTAGAACCTGTCAAGGACAACTCTCTGTTACAACATGAAAGAGGTGTTTGAGATCTCTTGACTGCGCTATAAATCGATTGTGTTGGTGTTAGAACGAGAAAAATAGGTGTGTGGAGGGAAAAAAAACTGGGAACAGTTAAAGCTAGATGAATGAGGAACAGACATGGGACATGTCTTAACAATGCCATTGTCATTGTAACCAATGCAAAGCAACAATTTAAGGTGTAAGCACTCAGCTTTTTGCAATTTATGCTCTTAAGTATAGCATTTCTCAAGTCTTGAGTTTAAGCTTTCATGGTTTTTCTTTCCTTTCCTTTCCTAGTCTGAGGTTGTGGGCAATACGTCTTGCCTTTGTGAACTTAAGCACTTAAAGTATTTGTACTTATAGTGTGGACAAGTGAAAATTCCGCATCTTACTTATCTGGTTATCTTGGTAAAGAGTATAATGTATTCATCTCATTGATCCATGCTTTTATTTCAGGCTTCCGTGAATGTTTATCCAGCCCACTGGATCATGTTAAAGGTTATATGTTAACTGACAGACGAGCTGATGCTTTCGTACCTGAAATTACTCCAATTGCATCTCCTCAGCCATTTCTTCCTCTTCTTGCTCCCTCTCCATTGTCACCCTTCACAAATAGTTCTGTTCCTAAATTATCGGGTATATTTTACATAGTTGGGTACATTGGAATGCAAAAGCAATTGGGGTTAAGTGTTTAATTACATTTTGGACTTGGCCCTTTTGTAGGACTTTGTATGTTAAACTTCACTGCTGCTCAAAGCTTGATGAGCATGACCTCAATCGATTGTTGGGCTGCATTTGCTCCATTGTTGGCGAATGTAATATGTTGTCCACAGCTGCATGCAACTCTTGTGATTCTTGTTGGTCAATCAAGTAAAGATACTGGTGTGCTTGCTCTAAACAGTACCCTTGCCAACCCTTGCCTCTCTGATATTGAGAAAGTCTTGGAAGGCCAGGGTGCTGGTGAGAATTTGAAGCAGATTTGCGCGATTCATCCATCAAACCTTACTGAAGCATCTTGCCCTGTAAAAGATGTTGATGAATTTGAGAGCACTGTAAATTCTGCTGAGCTTCTTGCTTCATGTGAAAAGATTGATCCTGTGAAAGAATGTTGTGACCAAGTTTGTCAAGGTGCTATATCAGAAGCTGCAATAAGACTTGCACTGAAAGCTTCTGATCCTTTGAACATGGATGTGCCCCATGTTTTACCAGAACACTCAACAAGGGTAAAGGATTGTAAAACTGTTGTCCTTCGGTGGCTGGCAAGTAAACTTGATCCTTATCGAGCAAAGGAAGTTCTTAGAGGACTGACCAATTGCAATGTTAACAAAGGTGAGTTTGGACTAAAGCATAGATGTCAAATTTCACTTTATTAAATGTCTTATATTCATAGTTTAGATTCACCCCTTTACCTTCTCCTCTTAGGTATTACCATCTGATTGATATGTATAAGAGCGTCCCTTTGGACAATGAGTAGCACAGAAGTTTTTATTACCTCTATCTATTTGCTTCTACAATGGAAACCTTGTTAGCCAAGGTGGCTTTTCCTCTGTGCTTGTCAGCTATCATTTGTTGATGGCAGTTGTAGATGCTAATCTATCTGTAGGGATCTCTCAGGTCTACTGATGATATTTCAGATGACCTTTTTTGACTTTATATTTAAGTTCTTGATTTTTTCTCCGTGTTCTTTCTTCTGCTTCAGTTTGCCCTCTCGTTTTCCCCAACATGAGGCATGTTGCAAACAGCTGTGGGAATGGAATAAGTAACCAGACAGCATGTTGCGATGCCATGGATAGTTATGTTTCTCACTTGCAAAAGCAGACCCTTATCACCAACTTACAAGCTTTGGATTGTGCTACCTCACTAGGGTTGAAGCTACAGAAATACAATATCACCAGAAATGTTTATAGCCAATGTCACATAAGCCTCAAGGATTTCTCCCTTCAAGGTTCGTTTTTTTACTTGATGCACCTTTGATGAGCAAGCTGAAGTGATCTTCACATGACAATTTTGAACTGGTACTAACACTTAATTCTTTTTTTCATCATGATCAATTTGATACTTGATACCAACCACTTGTGTGCCTCAGTTGGAAGTCAGGGTAAGATGCTTAATCCACTCAGAATTGGCTGCATAAATTTGGATTTACGTACTGGGAATTATTTCCTATTTTCTTCTCTTTAAGTCAGTTTATCATCTCTGTTATCTCTAACTGTGACTTCTAATTTCTTTACTATGGTACTTATATCGTGTTAAAAGCTCTTTTTGAAAGCAGCAACAATGCTCATACCGCCTCAAGATAGTTCTGTTTAGGAGAAGAAGCATTAGGTGTTTTGTTTTTGCCTCTTGCGGTTTAGGAAAGTGGGGGTGAGAGTTGTTATAATTGGAAGATATAAACCTTTTTGGGAACTAGAAAATGCTAATTCATTGTCTAGTTGTAGCCATCATGTTCAAACAGAGCATATTAGATTATATAATATGCCCCTGACCATTTATAATATAATTGTGTCTAACTTGAGTTGCTTCCTCTGCTTTTAGTATCTGGATGCCTCCTGCCAAGCTTGCCCTCTGATGCGACATTTGACAAGTTCTCTGGTATTAGTTTCATTTGCGATCTAAATGATAATATTCCTGCTCCATGGCCCACTCTGTCACTACTACCAGCTTCATCATGCAAAAAATGTATGTTGTATTCTCAAGTTTGCTTCTAGAATGGATAGTTCATTTTAGAAAGCCATTTCAAAATTAACATGACTGTTTTCCCTCTTGTCATCTTTTACTTATTTTCACCTGGAATTTTGGCATGCAGCTGTCAGAATTCCTGCACTACCGGCAGCAACAAATGCTCAAACTGGTAAGATGTAAACCTTTTAACTCCTCAAATAATTGTACATTGGTGGAGATGAGAGGAATTTGTGGATGTTGGTCTGAAATTGATGTTGAGTTGCTAACTTGTGTTGGTCTCAAATGTGTTGGGCAAACCTAAGGTTGTAACAAGGATATCTTTGAATAAAGCTATGCCTCAAACTGAGTTATCTAAACTTTGGTCGTTGCCTATCTCTGAGTAGTGATTCTCTCTTTGGCAGGTCTTTACAATGAATATGTTGCAGTTTATCTTCTCATTGCTTCTTCGATGGCCATAATGGTGCTCTTAGAATTCTAGTTTGAGGCCGAGTCTGTCTTTCTCCATAACTAAATGATATAGCATCGGTCTCTGTAAGTCTGAGCACAACCGGACGAAGTCTTCTTGAGAAAGAGTTTTACACAATGATACCAGCATGACCCCTGTTCATTGAAAGTTATCAGTAGTGACACTCAACTTGAGGTGGATTCACATCGTGCATCTGATCATATTAATTCGTGATTCTTGCATGTTTTGTGTAATAATATTTTGTAAAGTAACTTGGGAGAAGAGAAAAGCTGTGGTGTATTTATAAGTATTAGACTATACCCTGTAAATTTTGATTGGAGATTTATAAGAATCTTACTCTATTCCTTGGGAGCTGTGGCCTGTTGAATACAACCTGCAATGCATTTGTTCATCAATCTAGCAATTTGGCAGGCTTTCCCTTTTCTACATCCATGACAATTGTTGGAACTTGGAAGTTTCTTCCCTTGCCAGTTCCCTGCTGATGTACATCCACCCTCCTACAAACTCTTCTTCAGTAAAACCATTTTCAAGTTGACAATAGAATCCGTTGACGATGGAAGCTGGGCACCAGCTCATCGTGTGTATGACTGCATGTGAAAAGGGAAACATAAACTTCAACAATGGAGGGCCACCTCCAGATCCATTTGAGCTTAAGGCTTCTGAGGTTCTGTCCTTGGAGAGCCCGCCTGTCCTAACGCTTGAGGTGGTCGGTCTGTATTTGTTGCAGACACTCATAAATGCTGTTGGGCCTACATCAACGTTTCCACACCATTCCATTAATTCAATGTGCTGTACATTGCCCACAGTTGCAGACACAAAGCCTTCTGAATAAAGTATAGAATCTAAGATCAAATTAAAAAATGAAAAAAGTAATGAATATTAGATCCCTCAAATCCGGATGTAATCATCAACTTATTCTTCAAAGATCCCAAAAATCCGGATGCAATTGGTTCAACAAATCTGAACATTGGAATGCTGTATTCCCTCATGCAAAGCATGCAGGGAACCAAAAACAATAACTTAGTCATAATAAAATAAATTTTATGGCATATGGCCCTTGATTAGCCCCTGATAAACAATGCACATCTTCAATCCTATAAAGGCTCAGTTGCCCTTCAGGCACGTAGGAAGTAAATTTCTTAAAGACGAATCTGTTAAAGTAAGGGTAAATAACAATAAAAACTTTCACTCGATATTATATAATAATTTTCAATTCTTGACGAGTTTAATTTTGCCCGACTTTAATTTCGGGTAAGTAATATTTTTAATAATCTAGAATAAACTCTCCCTGCATTTTGAAAAAAAAAATAACACATGCAAATTTTTTATTAGAAATTTTCAATAGAATTACTATGAGACAGTTGACGGATTATATATTTTTTCTAACAGAATTTTTCAATGAAATTTTTTATTGAAAATTTTTTACTAATTTTCAACAGGACATGGAGTACGTAATCGTATTAATTATGATTATTGTTTGAAAGTTTATAGAAAGCCTGAATGGTAGTACATACATTGATGCAGCTAAATTGATTAATGGTCTTGATCTGACATGATAAAATCTAACGGCCAAGGCAGATCGCTCCATCTGATTGCGACAGACTGATCGAGGTTTGATTAAATTACTCAGAAAGATTGTACTTTCTCACTAAGGACGATGCCGAATTTAATCGTGTCATCAGCTAACCAGGTAGCTTTTCTCCTTCTGTAGTGACAGAGCTAGAGATCATCATGGCCTCAGAAAACAGAATAGACTGTGCTGAAAATGAGGTGCATCAGCCACTGTTACATTACTACAAATCTTTCTCACCTGAGCCATGTGTTTCTGATCTTCTTGAAGATACGTTATCAGATACCAGTTTATCATTGTTTTGGCGAATCCAGAGAGCTACATGGATTGAACTCAATACCCTCTTCCACCTCGCGGCCCCTGCAGTCGTGGTTTACCTGTTCAACAATCTCATCTCCATGTCCACCCAAATTTTTTGTGGCCATCTTGGCAATCTTGAGCTTGCTGCAGCTTCGCTTGGTAACAATGGTATCCAAACTTTTGCTTATGGCCTCATGGTAAGTTTTCTCTCTTTAAGACACAAGTTCAAGCATAGCTAGCTTAGTTGAGAAACCTGAATTACATCGATAACTTGATGTACCTGATGAGTTGATTGTATATGCAGCTAGGGATGGGAAGTGCAGTGGAGACACTGTGTGGACAAGCTTATGGGGCAAACAAGTATGAAATGCTAGGCATCTATCTCCAAAGATCAACAATCCTTCTTATGGCAACTGGGATCCCACTTATGATCATCTACATATTCTCCAAGCCCATCTTGCTCTTACTAGGAGAATCAGCCACGATTGCGTCTGCAGCAGCAGTCTTTACATATGGCCTCATTCCGCAAATATTTGCCTATGCTGCCAATTTCCCCATCCAAAAATTCCTACAAGCCCAAAGCATAGTGTTCCCTAGTGCATATATTTCAGCAGCTGCACTTGCACTACATCTTTTAATGAGTTGGCTTGCGATATTCAAACTGGGCTGGGGGTTGTTGGGTGCATCATTGGTGTTGAGTTTATCATGGTGGATCGTAGTCGCAGCACAATTTGTGTACATCGTAATGACTGAAAAATGCAGGCACACATGGACAGGTTTTAGCCTACAGGCTTTCTCTGGACTATGGGACTTCTTGAAGCTATCAGCAGCATCTGCTGTCATGCTGTGCCTAGAATCTTGGTACTATCAGATAATAGTTTTGATTGCTGGGTTGCTCAAAAATGCTGAAATTGCCCTGGACGCTCTTTCCATCTGGTAAGGGCAATAACTAGAGCCTAGAGGGGCATGCGTGAAATGTACAGAATTTTTCTTCTTTCGACATCAAACCAAGGAGTATAGTACCTTGGAATGCTGAAGTAGCTATAGGAAAAATCTTAGATAAGTTATTTCTTGGCCTCTAGAGCTTATCCTTCTGACATTAGGCTAACGATTGCATGCGATTTTGCTAAACGCAGCATGACGATATGGGGATGGGTTTACATGATTGCAGTCGGCTTCAATGCGGCTGCAAGGTTAGTTCTTCAGCTTTTCATTCATGGCTCCTTTTCATGGACATGCAATCGTAATTAACAATTTAAAATATTCTTGGTCTGAAACTATTTAATTGTGAACTTATTACACATAGTGTGAGGGTCAGCAACGAGCTGGGGGCTGCACATCCCAAATCAGCAGCATTTTCAGTAGTCATAGCAACTTCAAGCGCTTTCATCATCGCTGCCATCTTCGCCATTCTCGTGCTTGTTCTGCGCCATGTCATGAGTTATGCCTTCACCGGTGGTTCAACTGTCGCCGATGCTGTGTCAGAACTGTCTCCTTACCTCGCCATCTCCGTCCTACTAAATGGTATCCAACCTGTTTTGACTGGTAAGAAAACTGATCACGCCCGAAAGCAATGCAACCACAAGGAAACTTTCATATTATACGTACTAACAGTCAAGCCTCAGTTGCTCAGAGTTAAATCATATATGGACTCGTTGTTATACATCTACATCAATGGGAATAATTTCTCCATTATCATTAACTTTGTGGTATTATTGTGAAATGAACTTGTCATGATTAAAGGTGTGGCTGTGGGGTGCGGATGGCAAGCATTTGTGGCCTATGTTAATGTCGGATGCTTTTACTTTGTTGGCATCCCATTGGGTTGTATTCTTGGCTTCAAGTTCGACTTTGGTGCAAAGGTATAAGCAAGCCTCGAATCTCCACTGTTTTTCAAGCGCGACATTATTCATTGGAATGTGCTTTTTTTGTGTAGGGAATTTGGTCAGGGATGATAGGAGGCACTGTTATACAAACTCTCATTTTAATGTATGTCACATTTCGTACAGATTGGACCAAAGAGGTAAACAAAACCCTCAAAGAATCTTTACATTTTCCATCTGATAATGAAGGATTAAGAATTGTAACGTGACAAATATACAGTTTATAATGCTTAAATGTTCTATTCTGATAGCATAATTCCATTAATTCTCATAAGCAATTACTTCGTGATCAGGTTGAGAAGACAAGGAATAGGCTGGATAGGTGGGAAGACAAGAAGGAGCCTCTGTTGAATTAACTCATGAACTTGTCACAGCTTGCCAATTTTCAAGTCTTGGGTCATCAAATAAATGCCATATATATATATATAGAGAGAGAGAGAGAGAGAGAGAGAGAGAGACTGCCAAAGTATTTTCCCTTTCTTCTCTCTCTCACCTTTGTTTTCTTTCTCTTTTTTTTGGGTTTTGTTTTTAATGAATAAATATGAGCAAGAAAAACATCATGAATCTAGTAAGCAGATACTTGCCATGCTCAAGTTTGAAGGATCCCTCCCTTTTTTTGACAGTTTCTTGAAGATTTTGTGCTTTCTTTGTCAAATTTTGTCTCATTTTTCCAATCGGTTAAGTAAAATCTGACACACATGTTTGTGAATTTTGATGCACTGGTGCCTCATTTCTGGGTCCGTACTTGCTCCAACAACTAACACTCCCGTTCCTGAAACCAGATACTTGTAAATTAGAACCTCTGCTGCCATTGCTATGAAGCTCCATTTATCTTACAATTGTCTGATAGCATAGTTGATGTGCTCAAGTAAGTTATTAAACGCAGTCAGAGACAATTCTTCTCTATACCGTTGTCCCAGGTTTTAATGTAGCCAGCTGCAAGGTAAGTAATAATCATCTTCTGTTTTTGTTTTTCTAAATAGATATATTGAGAAAAATGAGATCAAAATTAGATCATACTTTCGAAACATCAACGTCGAACTGTCAAATGAACATGCACCAATTGATACACATTATCGTTCAGGCAAACTAACAATAATTACCTTGTTAGTGGCCATCTCTATCAAATTAATGGTGTCCAAGTCCAACCTGGTTTTTCAGGTAGAAGGTTCTGCCATCTCAATTGGTGTATGGCCAAACTCCCATCCCCTGAATCCACTAAAGCTTTCTAATGATTCTAAATTGTTTTAACTCGATGGAAAATGACTTGAATGACACAACTCTTTTTTAAGTCTGGCTTGTAATGACAATCTCTGTTGGATGATACAAACATAAGAGGTCTAAACTGATCGAGTCAAGCAGAATCAAAATTGGGTTTCGCCAGCTCGAGACAATGACATTGTCAACCACGTACAAGAACCAGACAAACGTGATAAACTTAAACTAGTATGGTGTTCTGTCTTCCCTCATAATCATTGTACTACTGTCACTAACAGTAATAGTTTGGTCATGGATATATATAAAGTATGAAGAACAGGATAAGGGTGAAGGACTCGTCGACCTTAGTTACCAGAGAGCCTAACACTACAAGGCACCCACAACATTAAATTAACAGTAATTCATTATCAAAGCTGACCTGGCCAATTAGCACCATTAAACATTTGTCAATTGTTGACGAAATTCTGATGAATTAAAGAACATTTGTCAATTGCTGACGAAATTTAGACAGAACATTTCGTCTAAAAGAATTATTTTTTAAATTTTAAATATTTACTTTTTACAAAAAAAACTAAAAATAAAAAATTAATAAATAATTAAGTAGTAAATATAATGGAATAATCTTGGATCCTACATACATTAAGACAAACATGCCATGCACAATTTCAGTTTTCAAGGAGGGGGACCTATGAAAGTAGTAGCTTTTGCAGATAGCAACTGTATATATTCTAAATTTAATTCCTGGTATGGACAATTGGGAAAAAAAAAATAACTAGTACTTCTAGTATAAAATAAATTAAATCAAGATCTTGATCAGTCACTAAAAGGGTTAAAAAAATTGGGAAATTTTGTATCTTTCTATGAATGCTAGTAGTAAAATATTTATTTATTTTTTTCCATGAAAAAAAATAAAATTATCACAATGTTTGCTTCCTATGGTCATAAATGGATTGCCAATTTTTATACTTAAAAAAGTGTTAAATATAAAACCAAAAACTATAGAGAATCTTTCATAAGAAAATTATTGCTTCTTGTGTCTCTTTTTTTTGTCCATTGTCGTTTCTTAAAATGCTTTAAAATGAATTTTTCTCATTTTTTAATACTCTTATTTTTTATATTATAAGTTTATTTTTAATATTAAAAAGTATTGAATAATTATATATATTTTTTTAACTTTTTAATACATCAAAATTAAAAATTTGTCTTAATTTTCGTGAGAATCAAATCAAGATCGAAATCAAGAGGAAGATGGATTTCTTACATTTAATATTTTTATTAGAGATTATATACTATTGAGTTGTACCTTTCCACATTTAATATTCTGTCTATTTTCCTTTTTATTTTCTTTCTTTCTTTCCGACAAGAGTATTTATAGATTTTATGCATTTAGTTTTATTTGTCTGGAATCACATCATTTTAGTGGTTGTATTTTTCAGTCAATCAAATCAAAAATTTTGGTAATTCATTTCCAGCAAAAATACAAATCAAATTATTGGTCAGAGAGGCACCTTTTTTTGTGTGGTCAAATAATATAAATTAAAAAAAAGAAAATCAACTCAAATATATTCATTAGACATATCCAAGCTAATTAATCTTTATATATAGTTGTTAAATTTCTTTTATTTTAATAAAAAATAATTTAAATAAAAGAGTACTTGTAATAAAAATATAAATAAAGTATATATGGTAACATGACCAGTGGAAGAAAATGACATTGGGTTTTCGGAAGTATACTCTTATCATTTCATTCAGCCTTGAAAGATTCAGAAAGAATCCCAAGAACAGGTGCTAAAATAGCAAACAACAATTCCTGACATGGCAAGCGGCATCAATGCAAACAAATGCCCTGTAAGAATCTAAAGCAAATAAGAAAAGAAATCTTATTCCCAACCAAATTCCTTTGATGCAACAATCAGCAGTGCCAATTGGTTTCCATATAGCAGATCCCAATTTCCCTCTCTTAAGACTGCTAGGAAAAACCATGGATTCTCAACGGGAGCTGAATCAACCGATCCTGAACTACCCCATGCATGATCAGCTGCCACCCCCACCAGTACCCGAGCCATCAGAAGTTACTCATCGCCACCACGACGTGGACTCTAGACTCGAGAAAGTTCTGACAGACACCGACCTGTCATTTTTCAACCGTCTCCGATTGGCTTCAGGGATTGAACTGAGGCTCCTCTTCCGCCTGGCAGCGCCTGCGGTTTTTGTTTATATGATCAACAATGCCATGTCCTTGTCCACTCGTGTCTTTTGTGGCCATCTAGGCAATCTGGAGCTCGCTGCCGCCTCTCTTGGCAACAGCGGCATCCAACTACTTGCTTATGGCCTTATGGTACTATCTCTTCTTGATTTTTACTCCCTGTTTTCATGTGTTCTAACAAGGGTTTTTTAAACTTTTATCATTTGTAATAACTTCTTTGCAGCTAGGAATGGGAAGCGCTGTGGAGACTCTATGCGGACAAGCTTATGGGGCTCTTAGATATGACATGTTAGGTGTCTATCTTCAAAGATCAACGATTGTCCTTACTCTAACCGGGATTCCACTGACGGTGGTCTATGTCTTGTCCGAGCCAATCTTGATCTTACTAGGGGAATCGACGGTGGTTGCATCTGCCGCTGCTGTTTTTGTCTATGGTTTGATCCCTCAAATCTTCGCTTACGCTGTGAACTTCCCCATACAAAAATTCCTACAAGCTCAAAGCATTGTAACTCCGAGTGCATACATATCAGCTGCGACGCTTGGGGTGCACCTCCTGCTGAGTTGGCTGGCAGTGTACAAGCTGGGTTTGGGGTTGATAGGTGCGTCTCTGGTGCTGAGCTTATCATGGTGGATCATAGTGATGGCCCAGATCGCGTATATCTTGATGAGTGAAAAGTGTAAGCTTACATGGGCTGGGCTTAGTTTGCAAGCCTTTTCTGGGCTTTGGGCCTTCTTGAAATTATCGGCTGCTTCCGCCGTGATGCTGTGCTTGGAAACCTGGTACTTTCAGATACTGGTCTTGATTGCTGGTTTGCTGGAGAACCCTGAGCTTGCATTGGACTCTCTTGCTGTCTGGTAGGACCTTACCAATATTCCTATTCTTTGCTCCTTACTCCTTATAAAGGGCAGGCAGGCAAAAAACGGAACAACAGCACATGCTGAACAAGTATTACTCTAGATAGTTTTGACTGGTAATTTTGCAGTCAAAATCATGCACGCTCTAGATTATTACATACTAATTATTATTCTTTTAACCCTTTTCTATACAATTCCCTTATGGAAGTCAACGTACATAATGTACAGGAGTTCTACAAATATCTGCTTTACGGAAAGGTGATGAACGAGGGAATAGAAACCTTATTACTTTCTTGCAAATTGCATTAGTGCATTATATTCCAATGTATATGGAGTATAGGAGAATTTGGCAAGGGCAAGTGACTATTATTCTCTGCTACTAATTTCCATGGAAATCGTCTTGAAATACACCCTAAACTTTTTAGCTTTTCCTTTTGCCTTTTTCCGTTTTCATTATGTTGCATGACCATAACATTTGGTCCACTTTAAAGAGATATATGCTTGACAATGTGGAAAGGAAAATAAAAATCTTAAGTTCTTTGCACCTTTCAAAAGAGACCCAGAGTTAAAGTTTACTCTTCTTACGTGTCTCATTCATTTTGCTTTACTCAAACATCGAGAATTTATAATTCTATCATGTATATATCACATCAAATGTCTTAAAAAAAGTAAAACACTTTAATTTCACTTTGTATGCAGATAACTATGTTTTTATGCTTATTTTGATTATTTACTATTTAAATTCAAAGAAAGGTAGTTTTGACAATTAATTGACTTTTAATTTTTGGTTGTAATGGTGCAGCATGGCAATATCTGGGTTGTTGTTCATGGTTTCAGTCGGGTTCAATGCAGCTGCAAGGTTCGTCACTTTCAGGACCACCCTAGTCTTCCACTGTTGCCACAATTACTAGTACTAGCATTCAATGATTCAATTCCACAAACAAGGGAGCCAAACAAAAAAAAAAAGGGCAATACGTTAGACTAACTTCTGTTCTAGTTAAATATCATTTAAGCTAAAATCAAAAGTTTAATCTGGCATGTGTTTCCATTAAAACAGTGTAAGGGTCAGCAATGAGCTGGGAGCCGGGCATCCCAAGTCGGCAGCATACTCGGTTTTCGTTGTGACTTTGGTATCCTTCGTCATTGCTGTAGTGGAAGCTGTTGTTGTCCTTGCTCTACGGGATGTCATAAGCTATGCATTCACGGAAGGTGAGACCGTGGCAAGAGCTGTGTCGGACCTGTGCCCGTTCTTGGCTGTCACTCTGATTCTTAATGGGGTTCAACCTGTCCTGTCTGGTAAGAAAATTTTTTGACACGACCGGTTTAGCAGGTGGCTTGATGTAACTAGTTAATGATGTTTGGCTAGTGTTGATGAACATTGATTGATGAAGGAGTGGCTGTTGGATGTGGATGGCAAGCATTTGTAGCATATGTAAACGTGGGATGCTACTATGTGGTTGGGATCCCATTGGGCTGTGTTCTTGGCTTTAAGTTCAGCCTTGGTGCAAAGGTAATGAAGTCTCTAGAGAATTATTTGTAGGAAACTTCTACTAGAATTCTGGCATTCGATTCCGGAGAGACATCTTGGTGTGACATGTCACTTTATCTTTGAGCAGGGAATATGGTTCGGGATGCTAGGAGGAACATTTATGCAGACCGTCATCTTATTGTGGGTGACATTTACAACAGATTGGAACAAAGAGGCAAGTCCCTTTGAATCGTTTAAATTTGTTCCCACAATCAGATAATCTGTTTGATTTTTGCAAACGCATGAGAATAGGGAATCGGTCAATGGACATGTCCCTTGGCCTGTACCATATCCTTTTGGGGTACATAACCAGGCTAGGTGATAGAAAAGCTTTCTGATTTTCATCTAGTTGACCGGTTGGTGACAGGAAAAACATTTGAAAAAGTTCTCGGAATAGTTATTGATTCCAAGATGAAAGAAGCATTGATGACAATGCTGAAATTTCAGGTGGAGACAGCAAAGAAGCGGTTGGACAGATGGGAGAACAAGAAGGAGCCTCTTCTTAAGGACTGAATATTGAAGAAACCGTTAAGCCTGCCTGCTATGCATCAAAAATGAAGATATGGGCACGAATTGGAAAATTGATTGATTACCGCCCACAATAAACCATCACGAACTTGCTGATGATCATAATCAGGATAACCTGTTAAATAATCAAATGGTTTTCTACTAGCTGATATGAGTTGTGACAATTTCCCTTGGCCAAATAAGCCCTGAAATATGGTTACGCTTGAACTCTGAGTCTAGAGTTTTGATTGGTTGATTCCAGAAAACAGAAACAATTAATGTTCCCCATTGTGCTCTAATTTAACTACGTAATTCATCAAATAAGTGCCATATATATACATAGACTGCCCCAAATGTTTCCCCTTTCTTCTCTCTCTCACCTTTCTTGTTTTGTTTTTAATCAATCAAAGACCATGTCCTTCTCAACAGGAAGAGGAAACATCATGTTTCTGGTAAGCAGGCATTTTTTTTCTTCCGCTTTGATCTTCAATATCTTCACCACTCATTACTACCAAGTATTGTCTGCTACCCATCAATACGATAAATCTACCATATTTAGGTCTTTTGTGAGGACAAGAGTAATGCCAAGTGTGTGGACGAGGATCATTAAGGTGATCATTATTAATTTTGAGGTTCCTGTAGATGGAAAAGATTTTTCTTGGCCTTCATACATTAAATTTTTTCTTGATTTTCCCTTAAATTTCTCATTCTTTCCATGAATGTAATCCTGTTAGATTCTGAACTTGAGTACTTGAGAGAGAAATTCCTTTCAATTCTTGAAGAAACATGTTCAGATGAGAACTAATTGGCCAGGGAACTCTATCTCATTGCTTATCAACTGCTACTAATTTTGTATCACCATCCTGATCACCAGGTGTTAGAACATGCTCTGTCTCATGCCCAAGTTGAAGGATTCCCCTTCCTTTTTTGACAGTTACTTGGAAAATCCTGTGCGTTCTTTGTCATATTTTTCCAATGGACAGGTGGATCAAAGTAAAACCTGAAATACATGTTTGTGAATTCTGATGGAGTCCTGGTGACTTTTTCCTGAGTCTTGACTAGAAAGAAGCCCCCCTGATACATAACCATCCAACGCCTAGAAGAACCTCCTCATCTTTGCACCTCTCCTAGCTTCTACCCACAGCAGAAGGTTTCAGACAATTTTCTGAATAAAGACACGGCCATCCTCCAGGAAAATATTTTAATTGTTACCCAAATTAGCAAAACAATGAGCACACTGCTAGTTCGTGAACCTAAGCTCATTGTCTGAATGCAAGATCCACCCATCAGGTTGAAATTCTAGCGTAAATAGATAATATATCATTGGCTTTCCCTCTTCTGATTATTACGGTTAATGAGCTCATGTTTGTTACTAAACGCAGCCAGAGACACTTCTACCCTATGCGGTAGCTCCAGGCTTTAATCCTGCTGTGAGGCAAGTGGCCATTTCCTGTTTTTGTTTCACCTATAGCCCTTAAGGTCCCATTGCTTAATTTCTTGATAAATCTTGTAAGTTAAGTGTTTTTTAAAAAGTAATAAAATGATATCAAAATCAACAGAAAATCGATTTGTTGGATCACCATAACTACATTAAGACAAATATGCCATGCTAAATTAAGTTTTGTTTTCAATCGGAGGGTCCTACAAAAGTAGTGGCCTTCCATATGGGTAGTGTCTTTGTTCTAAATTATTAATGGAAGATAGAGAAACCACATTTAATGCTGATATAGACATTCGGAAAGGATTAATTATTACATGCAATGTTATTATAAATTATTGATTTTGATGTATTTATAATAAATTTTAAAAAATTAATAAATAAATGTTTGATTTTTTTTAATATAAAAGATGTAAAAAAAATTAAGAAAATTGAATTTATAATATAAAATTTAAAAGTAATATGTACCTTAAAAAGATATTAATCGGATCCATACTTTTGAATTTAGATTTTAAAAATATCACTGAGCCATACTCTTTCTGATCAAACCATAGTATAAATGTTTAATGCAAAAAAAAGTATGGGAATCAAACAAACCCCCATAAGAATATAATAAAAAAGGAAAAAAACAGAAGAAAATTCTCATTCCCCGCGTGGAACATGTGCAATGAAAAGGTTTCCCCCAGGCTTATTAATTTTGTATAGGGGAACCCAGTTCTCCTCTATATGTGATTATCCTGCTAGTAGCACCATAGCTTAACCCTGCTAGAAAAACCATGGATTCTCAACAGGAGCTGAATCAGCCAATCCTGAACTCCATGCACGACCATCAGCCACCACCCCAACCCGAGTCAGGAGCCAGTACTCGCCACCACGATGTGGACTCGAGGCTCGAGAAAGTTTTGTCAGACCCCGATCTGTCATTTTTCAAGCGTCTCCGTTTGGCCTCATGGATTGAACTGAGGCTCATTTTCCGCCTGGCAGCACCGGCGATTTTTGTTTACGTGATCAACAATTGCATGTCCTTATCAACTCGTGTCTTTTGTGGCCATCTAGGCAATCTTGAGCTCGCCGCCGCCTCTCTTGGCAACAGCGGCGTCCAACTGTTTGCTTATGGCCTCATGGTACTGCTACATCTCTTTCCCTCTATTCGTTCTTTACTGCCTGTTAATTAACATATATTTGAACAGTTAAACCCTAAACCCTTTGTTTGCAGCTAGGAATGGGAAGCGCTGTGGAGACTCTATGCGGACAAGCTTATGGAGCCCTCAGATATAACATGTTAGGGGTATATCTTCAAAGATCAACTATCGTCCTTACTCTAACCGGGATTCCACTGGCGCTAACCTACATCTTGTCCAAGCCGATCTTGATCTTACTAGGCCAATCGGCGATGGTTGCATCCGCGGCTGCTGTTTTCGTCTATGGTTTGATCCCACAAATCTTCGCTTACGCTGTGAACTTCCCCATGCAAAAATTCCTCCAAGCTCAAAGCATTGTAACTCCGAGCGCATACATATCAGCTGCCGCGCTTGGGGTTCACCTCCTGCTCAGTTGGCTGGCAGTGTACAAGCTGGGTCTGGGGTTGATAGGTGCATCCCTGGTGCTGAGTCTGTCATGGTGGATCATAGTGGTGGTCCAGATTGTGTACATCTTGACCAGTGAAAAGTGTAAGCTCACGTGGGCCGGACTGAGTTTACAGGCCTTTTCTGGGATAGTGGACTTCTTCAAATTATCGGCTGCTTCCGCCGTGATGCTGTGCTTGGAGACCTGGTACTTTCAGGTACTGGTCTTGATCGCTGGCTTGCTGGAGAATCCCGAGCTGTCATTGGACTCCCTTTCTATCTGGTAAAGAACTTAGCAACCCTAACCTTTGATATTAAACTTGTAAACCTAATCATATTACCATTATTCTTTGGTCATTTAAAAAATCACCTAATAATCCATTATTTTAGACTCATTTGCTTGTGACCCTTTTTAACTTTTGTCCATTACTTTAGCTTGTTAAGTTTATCAATAAATAACCTTCTGTTGTTAATCTTCTTAACAAAGTACTTTATCTGTTGCTTTAATCTTATGGTTGCCATGACATGTGGGAAATATAATGAGAGGTAACCCAATGGAAAGATTAAGAAAATGTCTTCTTGAAAGACAAAAGACTACTAGATAAAGTAAGAAACAATAGAAGAAAAAAAGAAAAGGGAGCAGAAATTCTACCCTTCATTTATTTTGATCTGCTTTTCATCATTAACATGTGCAGGCATTCATGCACAACGGCTATACTCATTACTTTCATCACATTTGGTCCGTTATGACTTTTTAATTCAAAATAGAACAGTAAATGCACAATTATAATAATTTTTTTTGTCTGATAATTGCTCCTTTAGATTTGGAAAAACCCAACATTTGCAATTGGCATGGAATTCATGTTTTCATTATAAAAACCTTATATTCTTTCTTTTGTAAAGTGCATGATCTCTATATTTGGCCTTTTCCTTTTTGTTTTCATTTTTCTGGTGTCCTTTCTTTTCATCATGCTGCATGATCCTCACACTTGGTCCACTCAAGGTACGATGCTTGACACCATGTGAAAGGGAAATAAAAAATGTATAAAGAAATCGAAAAAAGTGATTGCTATAACTTCTCGAAGTTCCGGAATATTAGTGGATGTCTGTCTTGGAAAGTAAAAGCATTAAAGCATAGCAATTCATACGTACCCCATCCATTTTGCTTTATTTTGTATAATACTGATCAGTGGTGAGTGACTACTTTTCTGATATGCATGATAAGTAACGACACTTTGGTGCTTCATTTTGATTATTCTTTTCTAGCAGATACATATATTTTACTACCTAATTCACAGGTAGTTTTTAACTATGGAGTAACTGACCATGAATGTTGGTTGCAATGGTGCAGCATGTCTATATCTGCCTTCCTGTTAATGGTCTCAGTTGGGTTCAATGCAGCTGCCAGGTTCGTCAATTCCAGGACCACAATTACTAGTCTGATTCTGTTGTCACTGTTGGTATTCAATGATTCAATCCCAAAGAAAAAAAATGACATTAAAAAGACAAAGAAATTTCTCTATCAATAAAAAAAAAAGAAAGAAAAGAAAGTTTAGGGTCGCTTTGATTGTTGTCAAATCATTTAATCTAAAAGCAAAAGTTTAATCTTCTTGCATGTGTTTTCCAATGAAACAGTGTTAGGGTTAGCAACGAGCTGGGAGCAGGGCATCCCAAGTCGGTGGCATTCACCGTTGCCGTTGTGACTTTGGTTTCCTTCACCATTTCTGTAGTGGAAGCTATTGTTGTTCTAGCTCTACGGCATGTAATAAGCTATGCATTCACCGATGGTGAGGCCGTGGCAGACGCTGTGTCTGACCTATGCCCTTTCTTGGCTATCACTCTTATTCTAAATGGGATTCAACCTGTCTTGTCTGGTAAGAAACCTTTTTCTGCCACCGTTTTATGAAACTGATGGGTAATGAGAATTGATAATTGAAATCTGATTTAATTGATGAAGGGGTGGCTGTTGGATGTGGATGGCAAGCATTTGTAGCATATGTAAACGTGGGATGCTACTACGTGGTTGGGATCCCATTGGGCTGTCTTCTTGGCTTCAAGTTTGGCCTTGGTGCAAAGGTAATGAGTTCTCTCGTGACTTATTTGTAGAAACCTTCCACCAGAATTCTGGCATAGGTACTAAATCATTGATCTTCGAGCAGGGAATATGGTCAGGGATGATAGGAGGAACATTGATGCAGACCGTCATTTTGTTGTGGGTTGCATTCAGAACAGATTGGAACAAAGAGGTAATTAAGTCCCTTGGAAACGTTTGAATTTGTTCCCATCATCAGATAACCTGTTTATTATTAGTAATGCAC